GGAGGCTGCCTTAGAGCCCTGAGAGCCGGGGAGGGGGAGTGTGCGTGCGGGAGAGAGAGGAGGACCCGAGGGAGAAGGAGACTCAGAGAGTGTAAAGAGCCCCGAGACCGACGAGCTGCAGAGGAGAGGGGAGACTCGAGACTTGCAAGGGGGCTGGGAACCCCCCGGCTGACGGGAGAGGGGAGACTCGGGGCTGTGAGTGTGCGGGGTGATGGCAGGAGCGACCGTGGAGAGCGGGAGGCTGCAGGGGAGCGGGGACACCCAGGGGCTGCGGAGGAGAAAGGACATGCAGAGGGGCTGCAAGAGACGGGAGACACTCGGAGCTGGAACCAACTCCACCACCCCCTGTTCGTTCCCTGCTCCCGGTCCTCCCTGCAGGTCATTTGGGGATGTGCTGCCCCCAACCCGGGCTCCTGTGCTCCCGGGGAGCCGCAGCCTGGCAGCTGGGGCAGGTGGATGTCTTTCCTTCTGGGCGGGAGAGCTGGAAAAATGTGAGCTGGATACTCACGGGTTTATACCCGGTTCAATTTTCCTGTTCCCATCCCCAAGCCCGGACTCCTGGAGGTGTGGGATGGGAGTGTTTTCTGTGTGCAGGAGTGGGACTGGCTGCAAACAGCCTTGGGGCGAAGAGGAAAGAGCTTTGAGTTAAAAACGGCTCCGCTTTTCAGGAGCCCGCGGGCCACTTGCTGCTGGTTTGATCAGTGACCCGGAGCTCTCCGGAGCTGTAAACATCACGGCTACCCCAAAGAGTCTCCCTCCCCTCCCCTTGCAAATTCCTCTTGCAAATGTAACCTGTGCTGGACCGAGTGGAAAAAAGCATTATTACCTCCCCAAATAACCGGGGTGCAATTTCAGGCCAAGCTTGCAGCTCTTGCTGGGTGGGGATGGGGGGTTAGACCATTTCTCTTCTCCTCTAGGGGTTGGAAAAAACCCAAACCGTGACTTTTTCAAGGCAGGGGGGAAAGCAGAGAATGGTGTTGGCTGGTCAGGTCTAGGGAGAGCAAAATCTGAGACATTTTACACCCAATTGTGTAGTAGTTCAAGGGGGAGAGATAAGGGGTCTGAAATATCTAAACGGGCACTGAAAGGCATGGGCAGGACTAAGGGATGAAGGCTTCCAGTGTGCTCGTGGAAGGGTGGGAAGAAAAGAGCTCCCAAAGATTAAAAGATACAGAAATACTCTGAAAGAAGTGTGTGTGTGCCGGGATGCTCATGGGAGCATGGCCTTCAAGGGACACAGCAAACCCAAATCCAGGCGGGCACTAAAGAAAAACAACCCGTGGCAATGAAATCCTGCCTCCCTTGTAGACAGCAGCGTTGTCTCGGACTTCAAGGGAGCCGGGAACTCGCCCCTAGAGGTTATTAAAATCCTTTGTAATAACAGCACTTCTCTAGTAACCCTTTACACCGGGGCTGGGAGAGCCAAAAAGCAGCCTGAACGGCAAAATACGCTGCAGATGGCAGAGAAAACACCCAGAAATATTCCTTGCCCGATTCCTTGCCCGACCCGATTGCTCCCCAAACGCGGATACTGAGGCAGAAAGCTGCAGTTGGGTGAATCCAGAGCTGGGGGTCGGGTAGGATGTGCTTTTCCCAGGGTAAGGGTAAACCCCAAAGTGGTGCTGCCTGCTCCTGCAACACCCAGTGCCCCCCCCCAAACCCCTCTGAGGGGGTGACAGGGAGCACAAACAGTGCCAGCTTGGCTGTGCCAGTGTGCCAGGAGATGGGCTGGGACTCCAGAGCTGCGATGTGGTGGGCAGGTTTTGCTGTTTATTTTATTCTTGGCTTTCTCGCGGGGTGGGAATCCACCACAAAGACCACAAAAAGCAGCCCGGAGCCGTGTCTGAAGTGAATAACTGAAGGGAAACCCATTTACTGCTATTAATACCGCTGCTAAAATAAGCAAGCCGTGCCCTGGAGACAGTCAGGACCCCTCTAAGAATTTAAGCCCTGCACCTGGTTTGTTTATTTGTTTGGTCTGAAGAAGGGCAGAACAACAGAAAGAAAAGGAAGGGGGAGCTTTCTTGTCTCCTCCCGGCTGCTCCCCGGAGGCAGAAATGGGATTTTATGTTTACGAAGTTGCAGCCTTTTCCGTGAGCTCCAGGTGCCCGAGGACTTGGAAGGAGTGAGAGGCAGAGTTAATGAGGTGAGAAGGAAAGCAGAAGGGAAAGAGCAAAACACATTTGTTGTAACAGATCAGAGCGAAACATCTGCAGGGCACGGGCACCTGCATGGAGTCGGGAAAGGCAGTTTTCATAATTTGTCTTCTCTGCAAAAAAGAAAAAGAGGGGGAAAAAAGAAATCTGGAGAGAGGGAGGGGAGAGATGAATAGCTGAAGATTTGAGCTAGTCTAAAGATTTATCTTTTTTTTTTTTTTTCCTTTTTCCCGAGGAGTTGCACAGACCTTTTGGAGAGGGGGATTAAAAAACCCCCCTAAAGTGAAGCAGCGAATGAAGTCTTGCCATGTGCAGGGTTAAATGGAAACACACAATCAGACCATAACTCAGGGGGTAATTCAAGCCATACGGGTTGTCTGTCTGTTGACTCGAAGGTTGTATCAAGGCTTGGCAAGGGAGGGGACTGAGAGGGGATAATCCAAACTTTTTCGTGATTCATAAACCACTCCTTTGCAATCGGGGTAATGGATTTCTCTCTGGCCACGGCTCACTGAACTTCAGAGTTAACGCAGCTCGGGCTCTTTCTCTCCCTCTCCTTTCAGGTTGTTCATCTCCAAGAACAAGCAATACTCAGACTGAAGGGAAATACACTGTGTGAAAAATTAGAGAACTCCTTTTTTTTTTTTTTTTTAAATTTTTCTTTGGAGAAGCTGATTTCCCCTGGCAAGAGGGGGAAGGTGGAGAGAATGAAGCCAAGTCTGCGATTTTTCTTCGCTGGTTTTCTGTCGCTGATTCTGCAGACGGGGCTTTGCTATGGGATAAAATGGATGTAAGTACCTGGCTGTCTCTCTGCATTTTTCACGTTTTTCTGGGCACTGCTGGTCTCTCACAGTTTGTACAACTGCTGTAAAGCTGTCCAAAGAGCAGCGAGCGCTGCAGTTCTCCGGGCATTCATTGATTTCGAGTGTGTGTACTAGAGGCTTGTGCTAACAATGTGTCTCCGTCTTCTTTCCAAAATACGCGTGATTCAGGCTCGGTTTTGTGGGTTTTTCGTCTCCTCATTGATACCAAAGGAAAGGCACACACTTGAACAGCTCACATGAGCCACTTAATGAAGTTTCTGGCGTTAGGTCCTGCCTCGCTGGGGAACTCTCCCACCAGGACCACTGGTCGTGCTGAGTAGGAGCTGAGAGCAGTGGGAGAGGCAGCTGAGATAATGCCACTGATCTCCAGCCACAGGGGATGCTTGACAGATAACATGGGGGTTTTTTTTGTGGACCTTTTAACCTTTGGATTTTGTGAAGGGTGTTAAAAATGAGGCAAGGAGGTGGGGGGGGGGGGACGAGGAGAGTGAAGAAATACCAGGGAGTGTGGTCAAGTCTGGATTGAGTTTCCGTGGAGGTAATGCCGCTGCAAACAAAGTGAAAACATCCCTATCTCCTTTCTTGGCTTCAGCCAGTGATCAATTAGTTGCTCACTGCAAAATAAACAAACAAGCCCCTCCAGCACCAATCTGGTTTCATGTCCTTGGTGAGTGATCTGACTTTTCTACTTGGGTTTGGAGCTGGGCACAAAATAAATAAGGGGATGTGGCTTTGCCTCAAATGAGCATCTTCTGTGAAAGCCAAGCCCAGTCACACAGAATGCCAGGAAGACTGTTGTGCACTGGGGCAAAGATCTTTGGGTTAGCTGGGGAAACTGGGACAAGAGGTTCCTGTTTTGTTGCTCCTTCTACCACAGACCCTGTGCTATGTCTGATTCCCATTCTACTGTTCCAATTCCCTGTCACTTGAGGATCTCTCCATGCCACCTTTTATAAAGGTTCTCTTAAATTTGGACGTCTGCAAATTCAGGTGTCCTGTTGGAGCCAGTGTTTTCACTGCCCAGCAGGCAGTCAGGGCAGACAGCCAGTCACCCTGTCCAAACACAGACATCCAACTGAAACAGCAGGTAATGTCCTCTGGAGATGCAGGGGACTGCTTGAGAGGCTCCAGGCTCTAAGGACCACCTTGGAAGCAGAGGAGAGTCAGGATGTGATTTGCTCCTCGCTGTCTTGGCCTTACACCTTGCAGCAGTGAGCCCAGCTCAGTCACACAGCCCAGCTGTTCCTTCTGCCAGCTCCCTCCCGTACTTAGGCTCGGTATTAGAACCCTCAGCTCCACAGGTATCGAGCACCTTGCACAGGGCAGGCACCTCCTTTCTGCAGGACGTTCAGCAACACGCCCACGGGGCTCTCTGCAGCCTTTGTTTCTCTGCAGCACAGGAGGGAAGCTGCTCTGTGCCACCCTGGCTCAGCAGGGCACTCAGTGCAGCACCAGGACTGGGTAGGGGAGGCTCGCCATGTGCTGGGGTTGGTGTCCCACTTCAGCAAGGTGACAAATCGGGAGGGAAAGGCTTGGCTTCCTCCAAAGGGCAGGGGGGAGACGAGCTTCAGAGGGAGCCCGATAGTCTGGTGACAAGGCACTGACATGAAAAATGCTGGAGGGCAGGGCAAGGTCCGCCACAGCTTTGCTGGCACAAGCAGCCTTTGGGCCGGGAAGCGGTTCGGCTGCAAGGGCTGATTTTGGGGATGGGGTGTGGGAGAAGCGTCTGGAGGCAAAACACCGCAGTTGCTGCTCCTCCCCTCCCCAGCCGACATATCCCCGCTGTGGAAAAGCGGGTGGGGAGGATGAAAGCTGGGATTAAAGCGGCATTTGAGGCACGGGCTGTGTCCGGATGTGCCGCCGGGGCTCCCCTCGCTCCCGCCTGGAACCTGGCAGGGACCTGGGACCTGCCCTGCCTGTCCCGCAGCCCTGCCGGCAGGGCTTTCACAGCCTCCTGTTCGGGGTTGTGTTTCGTTTGCTGTTTCTCCTCCTCTGGAGACACGGGCCAGTTTCCCCCTCTCCCCATCACTCCTTTCCCTCAGGGCTCGGGCTCTGCCCGCGGAAATCCCGCGGGTAACTCTTGGCGAACAGAGAACCAAACTCCGAGCGAGCCCTCCGAGCTGCGGTCCCGGCCCCGCACTCACCCTCTGGGTGCTGCACAGTCCAAACCTGCTCCTTCCCTCTCTGCCTGGTGGATGGGGAGGGAGGGAAGAGCTCCATGGGGAGAGAGGGAAGTGCTCCGGGGTGTTTTCAGCTCTGGGCTGGTCTCCCCGCTCTGCCCGCTGTGCCGTTGTTGTAGGCACGGTGCCAGAGCCCGGCTTCAAAGGGGATTTGGGAGGGGAGGGGGAGAGAGATAAGGACGCGGGTTTCGCCAGCCTGGGGAGGAGGGAGCGGCTGATACGGCAGGAGATAGGAAATTCAATTTTGATTCGGAGCGTGATGTAATGGCAGGAGGAGGGGGAGAAGGAAAACACGCTTTTCAACCGTTTAGGGCTTCCCTGTAACACAAATATCCCCATAAATGAGTAAAAGCAAGGAGAAGGTAAAAAAAGGAGTTATTTATTTTATTTCCTTTTATTTTATATGGCTTATTTTTGTGCATTGTGTGGCCCGGGTCCCCAGCTGTTGGCAGCTGGCACTGGGCACCCCCAAGCCTCCAGAGAGGTGTGTGGACAGTCAGCATCTTGTAAACATGTCCTTGCTGATGGAGAAAGTTCATATTTTGGGCTCTTCCACCCAAGCTCCAGAGAGCTGCCCAGGTGTACAGGCAGGGTGTGGGCAGGTCCTCGCTGGGTCAGGGGTGCTGTGGGGAGGCAGCCTTTCCCTTCAATGCAGTGTGAGACCCTGAGTCTTGGTTTTGCAAACACTTTTCCATCCTTAAAGCAGAGGGTGGAGGGGGTTGCATTGTTTTGTGGTCCTCAGGGCTCGTCTGGTGGCTGGGGGGATGAGGCAGCCATTGGATATGTCTCAGGGCCAGTGCATCTCGGAACTCGGTCGCCTTCCTCCTTTTGCAACCCCTTTGCTTTCCCAGGAGGGCTTGGGTTTGGCCAGGCAGGTGCTGGAGCAACTTCTTTGGGTGGAACTGAAAACTAGGTGAGCACTAGAGGGAGCTGCGGCCAGATGTGCTGCAGATGTTGGCATGTCCAGGCACTGAGCAGCTTTGGAGGCACTTCTGCCTCCACGGGAGGTTGGCATCTCCTCTGTCCCTCTGCGCTGAGCGTCACCTTCAGGGCAAGAGTGGTTGTAAAGAAGCCAAATGCAGCAAGTGGGGTGTTTTGTTTTGTTTGTTTTTTTTTTTTTTTTTTTTTTTTTTTTTTTTTTTTTTTTTCAGGGCTTGCAGAATAAGCCCATGACAGCAAGAGCTGGTATTAGGAATCCCGTGAGCTTTAGGTGCAGCTTGGTCCCTTTGGGGAGTCCCTGTTGTGGTGGCCCAGGCATGCACTCTGGAGCCCTCCCCAGCTGAGCACAATTCCCGTGGCTAAATCCCAGCCCTCCAGAACCCAGAGGTGGCCGAGCCACACCTCTTTTGGGGAACACAGGGTGTCCCCCCAGCCCACCAACCTGGAGCAGCCCTTCTGCAGCCAGCAGAAAGCAGGGGCGGGGGGAGAATGGAAAGATTTTGTGCTTCCTGGCAGCTCCTGCCTCTCTCTCCCCCAGGCAGGGTGGGAGGGAGCTGGGCAGGGGGACGGGGCGCCGGCGAGGAGCCCGTCTGCCTGGCACGGGGGATGCCAGATGAGCTGCTGGGAGAGGGCTGGGGGCGAGCAGAGGGGGGGAACCACGGCTTTGAAGTTTGCTCCTCGCTCCGTGGGCAGCTCAGGAAAACTTGACGGAGCTCCACGGCCCTCTCGGAGCTTGGGGAGCCAAAACTCTGCTGGCATCGACTTCAGTGGGGCCTGGGCTGGGAGTCAGCTGTGCCCGCTGCTGCCAGAGCTGCCTTTGGCACCGGCTCTGCAAGCAGCTCTTATTTTAAGCTTTCGCTTCAGGGTTGGTTCTCCCCTCCTCCCTCCCCCCCACACTTCTCTCCCTCTTCCTCTTCTTTCTTCTACCACATAAATTCTGCTTCCCCATTTGAAAAGGCTTTGCAGGACCAGTGGAAGTGTTTACCAGGGGTTGTGGTGTCTTTCCCAGCACTCGTGGTCCCCACACTGGGACTGGTGCAGGGCAGGGTGGCAGGGGCATGGGCTGCCTCTGACTCCCAGGAGCTTAGGCAAGGTTATTGTAACCCTCCTGCAAGCCTTTTCCAGATGAAAGGCTGAAAAAGTGAGGCTCCTGCAGATCAAAAACCTTCAGTGAGATCGAACAGAAAAAGCCCCTCGATCTCTGCCTCTCTTTATTAAAGTTTACCACACACTTCACTCTCCACAGCCATGTAATTTTGTCTAAATCTTTCTGTTTCACCCAAATCCCTGCAAGATTAAGGGGTTTAGGAACAGGCATGAAAAAGAGTGCCTTTGCAGAAAGCAAAGCTGGCAATCTGAAGCAGGAGTTCAGGGTTTCACCAACAGTCCCCCTGTGAGACTTTTGGATCACATCACACGAGGGAGAACAGGGGGATGCCCCAGAGAGAGAGGAGACCCTTCCACCCTTTAAGGGTGTTTTAAAGGGCACCAATGCTTGGCTACTCAGGTCAGGGAGTTTTTTCCCCCTTTGCCTTGACCAGCAGCAATGTCTCACTCACAGTGGACCTTGTAAACCAAACACTGTGTGGCTTTTGCTGATACCTGCTGAGATCCAAAGGTGCTTCTCCCTATGAATAGGTGCTGCTCCCATGAATAGTCTTCTCATGGAGCCCAGACCTGCAGGAATGGGCCCATACCTCTCAAAGGACCCAACACTGCAGAGCATTCATGTCTTCGAATGAATTTATTAACTGCCTGAGATAATTAAAAGAGTAAACGAATGCCATGATTCATCCCTGCATCATATTTCCTCTGTAATTATGTTTATGGCTTTCTGTCAGGATCCATAACTTCAATTGAAAGCCCTGCTATGCTATATATAAAGCAGGAGGTGTTTGGTTTGGGGCCTGTTTATTTAAAGGGATGGGTCAAATATGGATATCTAAAAAAAACCCCTTGGAACAACCATCCCTCAGTTGTCCTCATCTTTCTGGAGAGTGAAGGATGGGGCAGGAGAGTCAGGGCAGAAGAGCAGGGTGTTAGCAGGAGCAAGCAGTGAAACCCAGCATTTCTAGGGCAGCAGCAGGTAAAACCCCCCTTCAGATGAAGGGTGTGAGCCCACAGAAAGATGTTTGTCAGGGATTTTTTCCCGGATTGAGGACTGTTCTGCTAACCCTGCCCTCCAGGGGTGCTTTGTTCAGGCTGGCTGTGCCCCTTTGGTTCCAGTTTCCTTCCCAGTGCAGGTGATCCCTGGAGACTGGGTGAAGATAGGACAGAGACCCACCACCACATCCCACCACGGACCAGACTCTCCTGCCCCACAGGTGTCCTTTTCAGGGGGTTGCCATCCCTCCTCTGGTGTTGCTGGAGTTCAGGGAGCAGGGAAAGGTGGTGCCTTTCCAAAGGGAGGTTTAGAGTGATAGGGAGTGGAGAAGACATTTCTGAATGTAGGACAGAGACTGGGCAAACCTGGACTGTCAGGGCATGGACTAGATGACCCACTGGGCCTCTCACATTCCTGATCTGTGGTTTATAAATGCACTTTTGGGTCTCAGTGAGTGACTGCATCAACTGAGGTTTCTTTTCCATCTCCATTACCCTTCACTTTTTCCTCCCAGCGCTTGGAGATGTTTCCAGTTGCAGGTTCTCACAAGCAAAGGCACAATGTTTAGGCCTGGGAGATGTTCAGAAAACACCTTCCTGCATCTTGGAGTTTTGTTCTTGGTGGGCTCCCTGGAGCTGGGTTCATCCCATGGGGAACAGCCCCTGGTGCTGAGTTCTCCCCAGAGGGGAGGTGGTTTCCCTCTCCCATGAAGCCAGTGTCCTTCTCACTGCATTGAAAACCCACTTCTCTGGTGGTGTTCACTCCAGGCCGTCTGTAACAACACCCTCTCGGTGTGTCACACCCCCTTTTCCACACTGGGGGTGAGTTCCAGCCTGAACTCAGCCTTCACCCCAACCTGTCGGGGGTTATTTCTGCTGCTGGTGACTGGTCTGTGGTGGTGAGACACAGGTGCCTCAGTGTAGCCTTCCAGATCCTCTAAAGGTGCTGAACGTCTCTACACAGGACCAGAAACGTGGTGCAGGATGTAGGAGATCCATGGATTGTTCTGGAAGGCCAGGTGGAACATCACAAGGCTCCTCAAGTGTCACATGGCACCTCTGCTCAGAAAACTGAGCTGGTGCCCCATAGCACAGCCTCTCTCAGAGCCTTGGAGTGCTCCTCCTGTGCCTGAAGCTGGGGCTGTGGAGTTCTCTCCCTCCTCCTGCCACACCCTGCCTGCTTCCCTGGCTGCTGGGATGTGCTGTGCTGGAGAATTTATCATTTTTACTCTCTTAGTGATGAGCTGCCTTGGCCTCCTGCCTGATTTGTGTTGCAGCCCACTCCTGGGAGTTGCTGATAGGCTTTCTGGGATAAGTTTTCACAGGTCCCCGGTGCCAAGGGCTGGGGGTTGGACACATCTCACCCAACTCTGTGCTTACACAGTCCAGATGTGTGTGTCCCAGCTCAGTGCCTGGGTCTCCTGCACAGTGCACAAAAGGAGTGTTTCTAAGGCACTGTTTTATCTTCCTGCGGGTCTCACAAACCATATCAGGCAAACTGCTTTCTAGATGTGGCTTTCTCCTGTCCTGGCTCACGTGGAAGGCAGGATGAGCTGCCTTCTGGAGGTGCCCCTCTCCCAGCAGGGAGCACTTCATGGACACCAGTGTGTGAGGCACCGAGCTGAACTGCAGGGCAGCATTCCTGACCATTAAATTATAAATTATTTAGGTTGGAAAAGACCTCTGTGATCACCGAGGCCAACCAATAACCCAGCACTGCCAAGCCCACCACTTTTTCCCTTCCCTTGAAATCCACTGGCCAGAACTCCTGTTTGCAGTGTGTTTAATGGGCCTCTTCAAACACATGCATGATGTATGTGTTTACACAGCCAGCAGAGTGGGGCTTTCCCTTCCAGCTTTGCCACTGATTATCCGGTGCCAGAAACGCCAAACTCCAGTCCCCTGGGAATTTGTCAGCGCAGACCTGCTCGGCCCTAGCGAGGACTGCGGCTTTTCCCTGCTGGAGGAGTGGCTGGGGTTACTCACCAGCAGCCCTGAGAGAGCTCCAACACACACAGCAGCTGGTTCAAGCCAGCCTTGAGGGAGCTGGTGGAACACAGATATGTTTTCCTGAGAGCAGGAGATCAGAGCTTATACCCCCGCTTTTGGTTAGGGCTCAATTTTAGCTCTGTTTCCATCCCATTTAACTTCTGAAGGATGTGCATGTTATAGCAATAAAGTGCAATGCACCCAGAAATGTGTCTGCTAATAAGCCAAACCAACCGAGATGGCTCGGGATGAAAACTGAAAGGCAACACATTTAACAAGGAGAGAAGGAAATATGTGTTAAAGTGGTTGTGCTGCCAGGATCAGATGCCAGTTATTGATGCAGCCAGCTAGAAAGTTGTTTTATGGGAAGGAATAACATTTATGACTACCCTAAGCAGGCCATAAAGATACAAAGGGAGTAGTTACACACCAGGCTTCTGCTGATCTCTGTGGGTGCTTGGGGGAGAAGAGCACAGCCCTGCACGAGGCATGGCAGCACTGGCTCTTTTTTTGCTTTTTTTAACCTGGAAAAGTTGGCAGTGGGACACTGGAAGTACCAACAGGGTCTCTGGGGTGCTGTTGTTTCCTTCCACGGTGACAAACGTGCTGGGGTTGGTGGGTCCCTCCTGGGTTTGCCCGTGGTGCTCTCTCTGCACCTCCTCTCGTGGTGCTTTTGCGCTGCGGTTCCTGGGGACTGGAGAAAGCCTCACCTACGAGCAGCAGTGGTGGGATCATGGAGGGCCTTGGCCTTAACTCTAAGTGGAAGCACATGTTTTGCAAATTTGGTGGCTTTTCCCTGGGCCTGGCAGGGGATTTTCTCCGTAATTAATTATATGACATTTAGCATAATCCTTTGAGAGTGTGTGAGACAGACGCCGAACGCAAAACGCTGATAACACCAGTGGCACTTTTTTCCCCCCGAATGCCACAGCCCTGGAGGATCCAGCTTTCTGTTATCATGGAACTGATGGGCCATTTTTCACTCTGCTGGGAGGTCTGTCCTCTTCATTCTTCAGCAAAAACCTTCCCATAGGATTTACACACTCAGTGAACTCGGCACATGCCCCAGGAGCTTTGTGCAGACTCCCCTCCAGAACAGAGGGAAATGTGCACTTTGGGAGGGGGTTTCTTCCCACCTGCCTTAAATGCCTACTTTAAATGAGACAAATCACTCCTCATAGCTGCCTGTCTTTCTCACCAGCTTCAGCTAGGCCCGTCTTTACAGAAAGACTCAGGTGAGCACAGGCCACTGGTGGAGAAATTAATACCGACCTAAAGATCAACTTTTTAAACGCGTTTTAACCCTTTTTTTTTTTTTGTGCTTGTCTCCTCAGAGCTCTGTCCAAGACCCCCTCGGCTCTGGCCCTGAACCAGACCCAGCACTGCAAGCAGCTGGAGGGGCTGGTGGTGTCCCAGGTGCAGCTGTGCCGCAGCAACCTGGAGCTGATGCAGACCATCATCCAGGCGGCACGAGAGGTCATCAAGACCTGCCGCAAAACCTTCTCGGACATGCGCTGGAACTGCTCCTCCATTGAGCTGGCTCCCAACTACCTGCTGGACCTAGAGAGAGGTAACCAGCCCTGAGGAGGGATGGCAGTGGGGACAGTCAGCCAGGGGGTGTGAGCTGGGCAGGGGAAGGGTTTTGCTGCCGGGGGGGGACGTGGAGGGGCTGCACAGAGAACGCGGCTGTCCTGCTCTCTGAGACCATCCTTAGGGGGCCACTCCTGCCCGGGAGCTCTTGGCTCCAAGGCACCACAGCTCTTACAAAGCAGACCACCACTCTGGTCTGCTCATCCCATTGGGAGTCATGGGAGGAGCACGGGGGCAAAAGGAGGTGGGAGAGTCCACGGAGGGGCTTCTCCACATGCTCCAAGAGAAGATCACACCACAGTGGACAAGCTGCATAAATCCACGTGACTCCTTGCCCTGCTGGGATGTTGCCTTGTGTTGAAGAGCTGTGCTCCCAACTGGTGATGCCATGGGACACCTCAGTTGCAGTGAGCCGGTGTGTTGGCTGCTCTGTGGGGTCTCTTTTTGGGGAGTGTTGGCCCAGGGGGCTGAGCTGGAGTTGTTGTCTCTTGCAGGCACAAGGGAGTCAGCATTTGTGTATGCCCTTTCTGCTGCTGCCATCAGCCACACCATTGCCAGAGCCTGCACCACCGGGGACCTCCCTGGCTGTTCCTGTGGTCCCATCCCAGGTGAGACACCTGGACCTGGGTATCGATGGGGAGGATGTGCAGACAACCTCAACTATGGTCTTATCATGGGGTCCAAATTTTCAGATGCTCCCATGAAGATGAAAAAATCAGGATCACAAGCCAATAAACTGATGCATCTGCACAACAGTGAAGTAGGGAGACAGGTAACAAATCCACGAGAGTTATTGTACTTGTACAAACATCCGTAGTGCTCGGTGGCTCTGTGAGGTTCAGTGTCTCTGTCAGCGAGGGAGAGGAGCAGGTTTCTCTAATTATTCTCTATAAGTCCCCCTGGGAGACAGGAGGCCCTAATGAGCCCTGTGTGACCATGGGGGGGATGTCTCAGTGCTGCCTGGGAGTCGGGGGTGGCTCTGGCTTGCTGACTCAAGGAGGTGTGGTGGGGCTGGGCTTCCAGGGGCACTGTGCAGGAGAGGTGCTGTGGAAGTGTGGAGGATCAGCGTTTGCAGCAGCTGCCTCCAGCCATCCCTGCAGCCAGGAGGGATGATTTCTTCCCCTTTTCCAGCTGCTTTGCTGGTGATTATCCTGGTGTCTGGCAGAGTTCAGTAGCTCACACCCAGCGGAGGGATGACGCTAACCATGTGCAGAGGGTGTGCTCCGAGGGGCAAACCCTGAGAGCAGCCCTCCTGCAGCTGGACAAACAGGTGGGGGACTGTAAAACTGACCCCTGCACCCACCTCTGGGGCTGCTCCCACCACACACCCTGTGCAGACAGAACCTGGAGCGTGCTGAGCTCATGGGCAGCGCTGTGAGCCACAGGCTGAGGGCAGCTCTGCAGAGCACAGCCACGCTCAGCTTCCCTCCCCTGGGCCTTTTTGTTCTACCACCGCCACCCTGTTTGCTTTGGGGCTTTGTTTTGTTTTGTTCAATTTTGTTTTCCTTCTGTGATGTGTTGAGTTTTCGTTTCAATCGCGAAGGGCGGATTTTTGTTCGGGGCCCGGCGTTGCCATGGCTGGTGCATTCAGCCCTTCCTGGCAGCGTCTGCCCTGTCCCACCGAAACGAGACCAGGGCAAAGCCAAAGTAAAAGGCTCTTTTGGCCCCATGACCAGCAGAAAAGCAGAGTGAGAGTGCCCTGAATTCATCACAGCTGTGACATTTCTCTTGCCAAATCCCAAAGCTGCCCAGGCTGAAATGGATGTTAATGATCTATTTGTGGAGAGCTTTGATTTTTTCAGCTCCTATGGAATTTAGGGGGTGGAAATGCAGCCCAATGGAGATATCTGATCAAAATTCAAAGTACTACTCTGTCTGTTGGCTGCAAAGCGCCCTGGGGAAAGTAGCCCTGGGCTGATAGTGATCACCAGGGAGCTGTGGGATCTCATTCCCTTTGCAAAGTAGCTGCTCCAGAGTGACTGAGCAGAATTGAGAGCAGCAGTCCTTCTCTGTAGCAGTCCCTGCTGAGAAAGGGCCTTCTTTAGCAAGCTTGTGGGATGTGTGGAGGTAAGAGAAGGGCGTTTCCTAACTCCTGCATTCCTTTTTGCAGGTCTTGAAAGCCTCTCTTGAAATGAAATGTAAGTGCCATGGAGTTTCTGGGTCATGCTCTATCAAGACCTGTTGGAAAGGCCTTCAAGAGCTGCGAGACATTGCACTGGACCTCAAAAACAAGTATTTATCTGCCACCAAGGTCGTTCACCGGCCCATGGGCACACGCAAATACCTCGTGCCAAAGGATATTGATGTCAGGCCAGTTAAGGAGACAGAGCTGATTTACCTGCAGAGCTCGCCCGATTTCTGCATGAAGAACGAGAAAGTGGGGTCACATGGCACCCAGGACAGGTGAGGGTTCTGCAGGGGGTGCTGCCTGCACCCTGACCCAGAGAGGGAAGGGGGAACACGTACGAATAAGGGACGAGTCACTGGGGAGGCAGCACATGCCTGCAGGTAAAGAACATCTCTAACAGATGCCCAATCCTGTTAATGGTGGCTGTGGCCAAGACAGGGCTTCTGACACCTTTTGCATCACCCAGGCAGGCACAAGATCCAATTTGAAATTCCCCTCAGCTCACCTCCACAGGAACCTGTAAGGATCCAGCAGCTGCTTTACACTGTGTTGGGTCTCAGACATTGCTTGCAGTCACTGCTGATCAGATGAGTTGTTACTCTAAGGCTCCTCTGAGTAGGTAAATATTAACCCAGTTAGGACCAGTGCTCCTATACAGCCTTAAAATAGCCTGGAAAGCTACAAAGATATTTTTTACATTTTTTTTCTTCTGCCGCAGTTCCAAAGTCCAGGTGTGTTTGTACTGCTCGTGACTCCGCAGAGGAATTTCTTTCTCTCATTAATATTAGAGATTTAGGGCCATCATGGCCAAGCCCAGCCTCCCCTGGGCAGGGTGCTGTCCCCTTCCACAGGCAGCAGACATGCCTGTCTCTTCCCATCCTCTGCTGAATTTCATCCAAAGCAAACTAATTGGGCATCTCAGCAGCCTGAGCATCTCTAGGTGGGCAGACCCACCTGATCTCTCTGGAGCAGACCCATCAACAGCTAAACAATTGTGTGGTTCCAGAATTTTCTTATTGTTTGTTAGGTGGCTGTCTCATTAGTTGCTCTCTTGCTGGTTTGCTTTTCTTTATATAGTTCTCATAATGCTTCTTTGCTCTGTGCTGGGAACACCAGGCTGAGGTTCATCTCCAGCCCAGCAGTGGAACAGTAATTACCAAGTGAAGATGTTTAGGGATCACTGAGGGTTGCAGGGAAAAAAAAACAAACATGGATCGAAACTGGTTTCTGAGGGGAAATGTCATCTGAGTGGAATTGGTGGTTTTGTGGATTTGTGTGTATTTTGACTTATTTGTGTCTTGAAAAAGACCTCTTTGTTGTGTCGCTCTGTTTTGAAACGAAAAAAAAAAACAACTGGTGGAGGTTATTTGGAGGTGAGTTTTATAGGAATTGCATGAAATGAACAGGTTGTGTCAAAACCAAACTGAATTCACTACAGATTTGCCAAGTAAAACATTTTCCACGAGCCGAAATCCTTTCAAGGTGGGGAGGGAGGTGTGACTTCTTTCTTCTTCTTCTTCTTCATCTAATCTCATTTTACAGCAGATCTCAACTTTTTATCCCAGCAAGGGATAAAGAGTATGTCCAGGTCTTGAGTGATTTTTTTTTTCCCCCTTCTGGGGACAGGGAAATGTGTATTGCAGGCGTCCCTTTATCCTGGTGGGGTGATGCAGTGACTGAGGGGCTGCCAGCCCCGGGCCCCGGGGAGGGAGGATTTAGAGGCCGAGATACTCAGGCAGGAGGGGATGACTTTCAAAAGGAACCTGTCAAGAACCTGGCAAGAAATCCTTCTCCTCCTGCTCAGCTGTGCAGGACGGGCTGGCTGTGGGATGGCAGGAGGGTGATTCAGGCCTGTGCTCAGTTCTAAGGTTGTGTGTAGCTGGGCTTGTTTTCATCACAGTCCCTCTGCAGGCTCTCCAGAAGGTGCCTGGGGTCTCAAAGCTGGCACGTGCAACACAAGCCACAGCAGCCTGCTTTAAATTAGGAGAGGAAATAGGTGTAAAATGCACATTTTGTGCGTGAAGATCAGTCCGTTCTTCCTGGGGGGGAACGGGGACAGGGAGGGGATCTTCCCTAACCCCCTCCTCCCGTGGGTGCCTTTTTCCCCTTTGCAGTTTTCCTCTTGTGAAGAGGACATCCAACTGCATTTTGAATGTGGTGGCTCTGTTCCAGCCTGCTGCAGGCTGCAGATAATTCCTAGTGACAGGGGTGAGGAGAAGGAGCACAAAAGGGGTGCTGTTAGGGAAGGCACAGCGAGATGTGGGTCCTGCTTGCTGCACAGAGGTGTAAAAACACTTGCTTGGAAATAGCTCAAACAGGTTTTTAGTTTATAAGTCAGGTCCTGGTGGCATCTGAACATTTTATTCCTGTGCACATTGAAATTTTCTGGAGGGAGATCCTATTGTTTCCCATTAGGCTCTTTTTAAGGTCTTTTATGGCAAATGCAGTCAAAAAGAATTTCTTTTTTTGGTGGTGGTCCCCTCAGTTCATCTTCTCTCTTCTCCACCACCTGCCCATTTCCTTTTTGGCCTTTTTCTGGGTGCAGAGGTCAGTCCATGAGGTGTTAGAGTGTATTCCCCTATCCCCACAGTCCAGGAGACTTCAGGCTGGGCATCTTCAGCATCTTTCCAGTCCTGCTTTCTGCCTCCAAAGGGATTCAGAGAGGGGGAAGACCCCACTAACAACCCCTTTTCCCGTTCCTGGATTAAAATATTCATATTGCTGCATTTTTTGTTGCAAAAATTGCTCGGTTTTGTACCACATCCCCCCTCCCTCTCCCCACGTGTGGTGCTTGCTCAGAGTGCACCAGGAGCAGGACAGAGGCTGCTAGTTCCTTGGAACACCTGGGACATTCAGGTTTTCAGTGTGTGCTGCAGGGAACAATCCTGCTCCAGCAGGTGGGTGGAAGGGGTAATCTCCCTGGTGATCTCTCTAATGTGAGGGATCACATTATGCAGACTTACTGTGTGCTTTTCAGGCAGGAAAGGGAATTGAATTCCCTTGTAGTGGAACTGCCCGAAAACCCACTTGGAAAAGGTGCACCCGGTTACTCAAAAGCCTTTCAGAGCTCTTTGCTGAAAGGATTTCAAAGCCCTCTTCAGAACAAGCCTGAAATGTCTTCTAGGACACCTTGGACTTTCTTAGCTGGTTGAAATTAGAAATGGTTTGGAGACCTGCCTGCCTGCAAGTGCTTGGGGTGTATCCAGGTTTCAAAGGCAGGGAACCCAACCCAAACCTGAGATCTGAAACCTCTTTGAAGTGCTCGGGGTCTGATTAAGGAGCTGAGTTATGCAACCAGTGTCCAAGTCTCCTGCAAACGAGACTTTGCTGCTGCCACACAGGCTCCAGCCAGACTCTGTGTGCTTATATCCCACCATCCCACCTCCAGAGCCCGTTAAAAATGGTCTGGAGGAAAACCTAAAGAAGCTGATCTGTGGAGCTGCAAGTGGATTGTGCAGCTTTCAATACAACAAATTAACCACTGGGAAAAAAATGTAAATGTTCCCCTTTCAGGAGCTGGGCCAGCTCTGCTTTTTTTGCATTTTCTCACCTAATGCCTGGGGAAGATTGAATCCTTTCTGCTCTGAGAGACCTGGATTTCATCACAAATTTTCCTGAACGGAATCGTGAATAATATAAATTTATTGATGGAGGGAATAATTTCACACAGTAAAAATGGATAATGAATCCAGCTCTCCTGAATGCATTTAGTCCCCCTGCGTGAAAATGGAATTGGAGTTAGGGGAAATTGGGTCTGGGAATGATTTTCCATGGACCCTGATCTTTTCAGGAGCAGGGCTGAACTGAGATCAGCTAGGCTGTTACTGAAGATGTTTCTCTGCTCTTAAATGCAGTTTCCCCAAACAACCTGTTCCAGGGTTTTACTGTCCCCAGTGTTATGTTTTTCTTAATCTGAATTCAGACTAAACATAATCTAAAATCAAACGAATAATTTCTTGTCCTCTCTTCTCAGCATATAAAGAGGATTTCTTTCTTCTCTCTCCTTGTTGCAATAATCTTTTATGGATGGGAAGACACCTCTTCTTACACACTTCTCTAAATCAGTTCCTTCATCATTTTCTAGTTTTCTAGTTTCTGAACTGCTCCTCTGGCTCTCCTGGGAACATCCCCACGTTTATCTGGATCTTTCTCAAAGCGTGGTGCTTACTTTGCATTTTAATCCACCCTCACAGAACGTCCTCAGCTCCTTCTGTCCCAGGGTTATCCCACATTTTTAAGCTCACTCTCTCCTCCTCATTAATGAAAATCCAGGCTGGTTCCAGGCTGTCCCTGGACATCTCCTTGCTGACATGAGCTATTGATAACTCTCTCTCTCGTGCAGTTGTTCAGTGTCAGTCTCAGTCATTCCTTGGGGATGAGAAAGCAATTTAAAAGTACTTAAGATTCTGCCCTCAAAATCTTACATGAGGCTGGACTTTGATGTATTTTTAGGGATGTCCATTGTGTTACACACCTCCTGAGGGACTCGAATTACTTTTCTCTTTCTTTCTTTTATATACTGTGCATTACTTGACATTGCTGGAGCAAGGTGCACCAAAGAAATAAACAGGAATTTGATTTAAAAGAGGAAAAGATCAATCACTCCTTTACACAGCAGTACTGTCTTCTGGGACTCGTAGCTGCTGGAGTTTGTGGAGGCAGATGGTTTCCCTGAGGTCAGAAAGGGCTGAGGGAAGCACACAGCCAAGATGCCCACAGGAGGATACTGGGATGTCAGGGAAGGAACATCCCTTCCATCATCCCTTATGCAACAGCCCAGGTGCTCGTGGGGTGTGAGAAACAGGACTAGAGAGAGGGGTCAGATTTGTGTTTTCCTCACCAGCTGGGGGGTGCCCTGGGCCAGGCAGGCAGTCGCTGTGCCCCAGAGTGACCTTTCCTATGTCCCCACAAGCAGCTTTCCCTTCTCCATGGGACTGATGGGGTGAGGTTCCAGTGCACGTCTGGCCTGGCCCCGTCATCACCTGTCATAACTGTGGGTGACACAGCACAGATTGGCCTCACTTTGGGTCTCAGATACCAGTTGCATAGCCAAAAAAAATATCTGTCCTTCTGTCTGCTCCTGGGACAGAGTGAACTGGGATCCACAGCAACACTTGGGACATGGCCAAGTGAACAGCTGGACTCCAGGGATCTCAGAGGTCTTTTCCAACCTAAGTAGTTCTGTGATTCTGTGATCTCCCCATAGCTTTTAAAATCAAACTCCCCACTCTCCATGTGGGGGAAGACTCCCAGAAGTGCTGGGATGTCCTTCCCTGTCTCTGCCCAGGAGCCTTGCCCACGATGGGGCCAGGGGGTTCCTGCAAATGAGGGCTGCAAAGGGGGGATTTGGGGCAGCACATCAAGTGGGGTTTGTCCAGTCAGCAGGGCTGACCTCCTCCCTTCTCACACAGAGATGGGAAAAGCACTGTGACAATGCACAAGGCTGTCCCTGAGCCAGGCCCTGGGCTGGGCTGGCGGCCGGAGCATCGTTTTCCAAGTGCTGGCGGAGGTTACGGTGTTGTGTTAAGATTCAATCTCCTCCTCGGTGTTTTCTCTCCGAGGCTCAGGAGGAGGGCACTTCTCAGGGTTGCTGGAATCGTGCTGGACCAGGCCCAAAACAAATGAGACTGAACTTAACCCGTCAGCGGGAGCGGGGTGGGATCCAGCCCTGGGCTCGGGGAGCAGCTGCTCGGGGCAGCTTCCGTGGGCAAACTCTGATCCTTGGGCTCCTCTGTCTTCCCCCACTCGCTTTTTCTCGAAACATCTCTGTTTTATCTTGTTTAAGGAAAAAAATGAATGTGATTCATCCAGGCCTGCACTTTGAAACAGAAAACAAAATCTCTGCTTAGTGGCATCGCCAGGAAAGCTTTTTAGAGGCCCATTTAGGTTCAGGATGGGGTTAAAGGCTTTGTTTTGGCTATTCAACTCATCCATCCACAATGCCCCTGTTTCCTTATACCAAACTGAGGGAAGCTTGAGGATTTTTTAATAACATTTTGGTTTTTTCCTGTCTTTGATCCAGGCTGGGTGGGATGGGGACAGCTATGGAAAGGTATATCTCCCACTAGATCCACTTTTTTTTTTTTTGGCAAACCACAGGAGTGGATGGGGGAAAAGGGAGAATCCCAGTACAGCAGGAAGAGGAGTTTTACTCTGTTTGGATGGGGTAAATGTCACTGTTGGGCGCTTTGTGTGCCTGGGGAGTGAACATCCTCAGTGGGCAGCTGGAGTCAGAGTGGGCCCCTGTTCCTTTGCTTGGCCATTTTGGTGAGGTCTCAGCGTGAGCTGGTGTGGATGCTCCACACATCCCTCACCAGGCTGCAGCTCCCCATCCTCCCCGGGTGAACCTCAGCCTTTCCATCCCCTAGCAAAGCTGAGATAGGTTGTCAAACACCCTCCCCTCTTCTAATGTCAACACGCCCGTATGTGAACCTTTGCTCTGAATATTTAATGCATTTACTAATACATTTATGAGGAGTCATGTGGAGGTTTCCTCGTGGAGGGGCCCTGGCTCTCAGGGGCAGTAAGAGGGCCTTTGGTTCAGCTTGGCAAACATGCTCAGAGTGCTGCAGACTCGGCTCTGCTGGAGGCTTTCAAAGGTTCGTAAATATTGACACACACTCCCCAACGAGGGGGATTGGGGGGGCCTTTAAACACTGAACCTGGAGAGGAATGCGAGACAGAATAACAAACAGGGGGCGGGAGAAAATGAAGGAAGAACAAGAGCAAAATCTCAACACTTCATTAATCCCGTGACTTCTCCTAAAGCATTACCTCATGAGGAATTCCTATAAATCTCATGGATTTGTTTTCATCCATTAATGGTGTGCTCAGCTCATGCTCCTCTGTCCTTTCCCTGCCCCAAAGCAGCCTCAGAGCGTTTCTGTCCAAAATAGCCATGCAGAGCAAGATTCAGGAGAGATGTCAGCAGTTCCCCCACTCCACAGACCACCTTTCCTGCAGCAGTTTCGAGCCTCCATCCCATTCACAGCCCCTGGGTATTGGGTGCATGGTGAGATTTGTTAACCTGAAGTGCAAGCATCTGACCAAACATGGACAGCTCCACCCTGGGTTATCTTTACAGTCCACGAGAAAACAGCAGCTCCAGGACATGGTTCATCTCATCCTGGTGTGCTTTCATGGCCGGTGACCCAACCTGGAGTATTTTGGGAGAATGAGACAGATGGTTTTTGAGCAGCACAGCTGTGAAATGGCAATCAATGAAAGACATTCCTCAATCCATGAGTTACCTCTGAAAACCTCAGGCCAGTCACTTGCAAGCAGACAAAAAATGAGGGAACCCAACACAAGGGCCGACTTACCCTGGTGGGTCTGGCTGTAATTAAAAGCAGAAGCAAAACAAGCAGTGGAAGTCCGTGTGATATTTGGTGACTTGTCATCCTGCCCTGTGTTCCTGCCACACTTCCTGCTCCTGGGTCAGGACCTGGGGTGTCGTGGGGCTGCTCATGCCGTGCTGGGAGACAATCAAGGGGGAAGAAGTGCAGCTCTGCTGGTGTTGGTTGTGATTGCCCTGATAGGATCAGTGCTGGATAGTGGCTGCAACAGCCTGCTCGGGATCTTTCCCAGCCTGGGATGCTTGGCATGGAGCCTGTGCAAACACTGTGTGGCTGCAGGGTTCCCCCTCCGTCCTTTTCAGGTTGGGGAGTGCTGGACAAACACCAGGGTTTGTTCTTTAGGTTGTCATCTTCTTCCAGCTCCTTTCAGGCAGTTTTGGAGCCTGCCTGGGAATACAGATTGCTTGGGATGAGGAGTTTTTGCTGGGGAGGTATCCCAAAACCTTTGCTTGTCTGCCTGTGTGGGAGGCAGGTTCAGGAGCCTGAACTGGGAGGCAGAGCAGGAGTTGGGTGTGATTTTGGGTGTCAGAGCAGATGATGTGGGTGCAGCCTGGGGGTCACCCTGCTGCCCTGGCAGGCGTGGGGGGCTGCTTGGCTGGGTGCTCCCCCTGCCACGTGCTCTGTGCAGCTGGGGTGTTCCTGTGCCCCGGGCAGCCCTGCAGAGCTGTCGGGCCCAGCAGCACCTCGGGGCAGTGCCTTGGGAATCCCTGCAGGAACTGCACTCGCTCACAGCGTCTTCTCTCTTCCAGACAATGCAACAAGACTTCCAACGGGAGCGACAGCTGCGACCTGATGTGCTGTGGCAGAGGGTACAACCCCTACATGGACAAAGTGGTGGAGAGGTGCCACTGCAAGTACCACTGGTGCTGCTACGTGACCTGCAAGAAGTGCGAGAGGACTGTTGAGAGATACGTGTGCAAGTGAACCCCCTCCCCTGCCCCCCAGAGCTGAGACAGCAGCACCAGCACCACCCAGAGAACAGAAAACATTGCCTTGACCAGAGGCCATTTATCTTGCAAAGACACAGACTTGAGGGAAGCTGGCAGGAGGAAAAGCGAGCAATCACACCAGTAAGAATAAGACCCTTAAAAAAAACTTCCCAAAAAACCCCAAAAGCAACAAACCCACAAATGTTCCCCCCCCCCCCAATCAACAAAATGCTCTCTGAGAAGACAAAGCCTCATTTGGGATGGTATTTCCTTCAAAAACACTTCTTATGGTTGCCAGTGATGTCCAGCCATCGAGTGCCTCAGTATTCTGGGAAACAAAAGTAGAAACTTTCCCCAGGGGAAGAAAAGCAACTCCTGTTTGACAATAACTGAGGCTCCCACCTGCCTGTGCCTTGCAGCACAGGGACTGAAACTTCATCGGGACCATCCCGGAAGGGAAAACACTACAACTTTACAGCAATAACTTTGTTGCCAAAGACTTAATTTTTAGCAGGGAATCACCCACTGGGAATGATAAAGGTGGAAAGGTTTCAGGTCAATCCCCTGAAAGGAACAACCCATTTTATCCTTGCTTTTACACAGGTCTGCGACTTCGAAGTTGCTGCTGCAGGAAGGGCTGTCCTTGATTTGTCCAGGCTGGATGGGTGTTCAAATTCAGCCATGGAACAAGTCCCCTGGGACTGGGAGCCCCTGGGGGCAGGGAGTGTAGGGCAGCCTGAGAAGGACCTTTTGGGGCCCACGAGACAGTAGTGGGGCCGTTAGGACACAACAACAAAGTGAAGTCAGAATCCAGCAGGAAAGTAAGACAAAAAGCAAGCCCCTGCTCTCTTTCTGTTTGCCCTTTGGGTGTGGTGCCCTCGGTCGCTGCCACTGTCCCATACTGGGCCAGCAAGTCCTCGGGGAAATGTGCCACTGGCTCTTTTCCCTCGGCAGAACTGTCGGTCCAACCCCAAGACCCCGCGGAGAGCGGGGCAGTGCTGGCTGCAGGGGGGGCAGCCCTGGAGGGCAGCAGCCATTCCCAGCAGAAGGGAGTGGGGACGTGTCAGTCCCTCCAGTGGCCCTGCCCTGGCACAGCAGAGAACCACTACCTGTGGCTGTAAATATTTCCTTTTGTACGCGGCTATACGGCAATATTTATATCTCGTGCTTTCCTCTACTCTACTCCCTACGTAAACATATCTATGTACTATAAACAAGCATTACCCAGAGTGTGAAATGAGCGCTGAAGTTATGGGGCAGCAGCACAATGTTAGATGATGGTGTTTCCTGCTTGGAAAGCAGCTCTGATTTTCCTCCCAGGGATGGGAGAAGAGCAAGGCTGGAGGCACTCGAGAAGTTCCTCTATTCCCTGCCTCCCCTGCCTCTTCATCTGGAGCAGAATCAGCCAAGATACAGCCAAGACAATGAAACAGAGCACTGGGAGAAGGGAAGAGTCACCGTTGTTGTTTTGCTATTTTGTCAGTGACTCCTCTCATTGGGAACATTTCCCAGTGCCCCCAAGGAGCTCAACAACAAACAGGACCAACTCCTCTCCTGGGGGTTTGCTCCTGGCTCCTGCACATGGACAGGGGGTGCTGTGCAGGGCAGCTTCTGCCTTAGGTTTGGTTCCCTTCTTTGCTCTGTTTTTCCTTTGCAGTGGGCATCCAGCTCTGTGTCCCACTGAGGAAAGGTGACCTTGGGGAAGGATGCTGCTCCAGGAGCCTGTGATACCCTTCACATCATTCCCCATGCAAAATGCTGTAAGCAGCCAAAAAATCCCTCCTGCAAGAACGTAGGGGGACACTGGCACTTTCCTAGGCAGTAACACCACAACCTTTCTCCAAATCCTCTTTTTTTCCCTGCTCAGCCATTCCCTAGGGGCCAACTGCCTCTGACAACATGTCTGTGAGCAGCCCTGGGGAGCTGGAGGAGAAAAGCAGTGAGGGCCGTGAGAGCAAAATTCGAGAGATTCTGTTCTCCTCAGCTCCTTTGCTTTGCTGGGATGGGTTTGGCCTCCTGGCCCCCTTCCCTCCCCCAGCCACGAGCAGGCAAAGAGGGGCCTTTGGTGGTTTGTCAGTGGTTTGTCAATGGTTTGTGTTCTTGTCACCCCATAAAAACTGGTGGACTGAACGTCTCTGCAGTGCAGTGTGATGAGTGCTGGGTGTCTCTGGGCTGACATGCAGACAGGCTGGTGGCACAAATCCCACTGCTCTCCAGCACCAGGATCTGGCTTCCTTTGATTTGTAAAGAAACGGTCTACTCTTGTTCTTTTGAGGAATTTTATTTTTGTTTCCAGTTTCTGATGAAGCCAACAAGGCAGGGATTTCTGACCAAAGAAAAATTCGAGCATTTCAATGCTATTCTGTAATGACTCTTTTTCTTGCTCCCTTGCTGATGTCCTGAGTCTTTCTGCCTGGTGAAAACAATAATAAAAAGGAAGAAATGCTCTCTAGGTACATTTTTTCAGCTGCATTCTGCTCCTCCCGTGTCAGACCTGTGATCCTCGAGTGGCTTTCTAGTGTCAGAAGAAAGCACCACTTGGCAGAGCATTAGAGGGCCTGAGAAAACCTCTCAGGCACGTGCAGGTCCAGCAGGTGGGACAGGGACCTGCAGCAGAACCTCAGCCCTGGGACACCTCATGCTTTGTGCCTGGTACTGCAGATGCTGACCTGAGGTGTCTAAAGTGTTTGGAGCTTCCAAACCTCTGCTGTCTTTGGATAATCCATCCTGGGCTTCCTCTGAATTTTGCTGCTTTGGGAAAAGAGCCCGTGTGGCCCCAGCCCGTGGCTTAAGCTGTTGCTCTATGAATTCCCTCTGTTACATCACTTTTGTCACAGTTTCTGAGTTTCAAGGCCCTTTTCCTCTCTGGAGCAGCTGCACGCTGCATTTCCTTCGAATACCAACCAGGAGTAAAGACAGAATGTGTGCCACAGGGCCATGCTGGTGGAAGGACTCATGGTGCAGCTTCTCCAGAGCTGTCCCTGGTGCTTCACTCCTGGCCCAGCAGCAGAGCCCAGGGAGCTCAGGAGGGAGAAGTGTCCTCGCTCCCAGCTGCAATTCCTGGTGCAAACCCACCCAGTTATTTCCACAGCCAGGGGGAGGTGTCCCTGCCCATGGAAGGGGACAGTTCCACTGGAACTGGATGATGTGGTCTCAAAGCTGTTTGGGAGCACATTTGTCATGAACCAGTTTTGCAAGGAAAATATATCCCTCCTTCCCTCCCCCAGGCCCTCAGCAACCAGTTTTCAAGGCTTTGCTCTGAAACGTGGAGAAACTTTCAGCCACTGAAATAAAATGGCTTTAATTCCTGGGAATGTCTCTCTCAGGTGATGCTACAGTTCCCTCTCTTACAACATTCCCTACCACATCCCAACCACTGGTACAATTTGGCCCAGCTCCACATGTCCTACTACACAGCACTGCTGGTTTACACTGGCTGGGAAAACACATCTGATTTCTTCCCATAAATCCTATAATTTCAAAATCTTACGCTGTTACCCCAGAGGGAAACGGCCAAACCATCTGGAAGAGTATTATGCTGGTGGCTTTGTATCATTTATTAATTTGAAAAAATATCTATGATTTAATAAAACAGTTTGGACTTAATGCTATTTCCAAATCTGAGGGTTTACACCTCGTGTACATCCAGCTGGCTTTGTGTTTTTTGATGAATTCCCCCCCATCCTCACCCCCTTCCAGTTTTATATCATTTAGATTTCTCCCTAAGGTAGGCAAATGACAGTCATTACAAAAAACTCCCGTCTGATTCCTTGTTTTAGTCCACAAAAACAGAAAGTATCTTAATCATGCTAAAGTAGAAAGTCCATGTGCAGCTAGAAAAGCCCTTGATGAGGGGAAAGGGAGTGAGGAAAGGAGGCAAAAATCTGACTAAAATTAACAGTGTCTTTGGCAGGAAAATGATAAAAAGAGTCCCCAAGGGACCATCCCTTTTCCTGCTGGGAAGAGATCCTTGCAGCACCTTCCAGGTGAGCCAGCCCTGTGCTGCCCAGCACCAGGCACCTGCCTGGGGAAGATGCTGGGAGGAGGCTCTGGAGGTGCTTGATGTGGGGAACAAGTGGAAAATTCAGCCCTGGGACCCCTTGGTGTTACCCCCCACCCGTGAGGAAGGATTTGCCTTCCCTGCCTCAGGCAGAGGGTTGTGAGACACCACTGCTTTGGTCCCCAGAGCATCACAGGCAGGACTTTCTCCTCTGCACAGGGAGATAGAGCTGAGAACAAGGTTTGAGAGAGGCAGAGAAATAACAGGAAACTTCAAATCCACCTGAGATTAATGACTTCAACATGTACAACGTGTTGTGTTGTGTTTTGTTTTCCTCTTGGGACCAGTTTCATCAGTCAGACAGAGTTTGATTAAATGTCTCAGCAGAGCTATGGTTTGTTCATCTAGAGCACAGATTACCCTCTGTTCATGGAAGCAGTATTAGCTGTGTTTTCGAATTGTAAGAGCTACAATAATAATAAAAACAATAACAATAACAATAGTATGCATTGTGGATTGTTTTTATTTGCTCTTTTGTTAAGACCATGTGGACGGTGTTTTTTCTATATTGTAAAGATGGTGGGATTATAACAATAAATCCAGGTAAAGTTGGGTGCTCACAACCCTGTGTTTGTCTGAAGCTCTAGAGAGCGTGACAGCTCAATTCCAACATCCTTGAGGGTTGGCTGCTATCTCAAAATTCATGCTGAATTTCAGAGGAAAGGGAGATTTTAAATCCATCATTCTAAGGGGCTTCTGTCCCTCCCCATCATTTCTCACCCTGAATTTCAAGTTGTTTAGGATTATCCTGATCTGGGTCATCAGAGGAAAACAGCTGGTGGGCACATCTCAAACCACGGAATCAGAGAATGGTTTCAGTTCAAAGGGACCTTAAAGACCATCTCATTCCACCCCCTGCCATGGGCAGGGACACTTTCCACCAGCCCAGGTTGCTCCAAGCCCCATCCAGCCTGGCCTTGGACACTCCCAGGGATGGGGCAGCCACAGCTTCTCTGGGCAACCTGTGCCAGTGCCAATGCAATGCCTCAGGTGAGGCTGATCACACAGAGGAGGATCCAGATCTTCCTCTGCTGCTGCAGCCACTGAGAACAGCCCCCTCCCTGCAGCCCCTTTCCACTCCCTACCTGCTGGAGATGCAATTAATTTTACAAAGTGCTGCACATGTTGACCAGGGCCAGGCTCA